GGCTACAGCAGCAAAAACTACACGGGATGCCACTCCTGTCAGCTAAGAACAGGAAACTGGGCTACAATTTGCACAGGCTCACCAAAATTGGACAATAGAAGATTTAAAAATGTTGGCCACAGCCTACCTCAGTATTGTTGCTGACCTTGTCCATCCCTTTATGACCACAGTATATTCATCTTCTGATGGCTATTTCAAGAAAAATAACGCACCATACAGCGTGAATCATTTCAGACGTGTTTCTTGAACATCACAATGAGTTCACTGTACTCAAACGGCCTCCACAGTCACCAGAACTCAATCCAATAGAGCACCTTTTGGATGTGGTGAAACAGGAGATTCGAATCACGGATGTGCAGCCGAAAAATCTGCAGTAGCTGCGTGATGCTATCATGACAATATGGACCAAAATCTCTGAGAATTATTTCCAGTTCCTTATATTCCACAAAGGATTAAAGCAGTTCTGAAGGCAAAATGGGGTCCAACCTGATACTGGTAAGGTGTACCTAATAAAGTGGCCATAAGTGCTTCCATCCAAATATACATAGAAATTCATTTTTCAAGTCTGTAAATGAAGATAAAGTAAGATTTTCCAGAAATTTTTTGATTTTTATAACTTTTTTAAAATGTCATGTGTAATGCCATGTTTACTCAGGAAAGAGATTTCGTGGTGGAATGCCCACGGTAGTATTTGGAAACACCAAACTTTCGCTCACACATGCGAACTGATGTGTTTGGAAATGTCACAAGATGTCTAAAACGGCAGACATAATTTGTTTACCCAATCTAGTTAGAAGAGCCTTTGTGTTCAGTTACAGTCTCTCTGGCTTCTGAATTTCTGTCTGGCTGAACATTTCTCTCTTCACACTATCGACTCGGTATAGTGCCTCTCCAAGTGTGTTTATATGTGGTTTTGTCTCTTTGCTTGAACTGTGAAACGTGTGAAAAAAATGTTGATACTGTCGGTTTCTCTGTTTTCTTAAGAAGCAATTACAGAGGCCGTCCAGGGAGAAAGGATGGGCATCATGTTTTGACATACTCCTTAGAGATCATCACGGATGAAATGCTCCCGGCGTTTAGTCATCACATTTGCGCCGACTCCGATTTCAGGCTCTGACTTGCCAGATTGTTATCAAGGAAAATACAAATGGTTATCAGAGAAAGTATAGCGCACAGTCTGTTAAGAGGATAAGCATCAGTGTGTTCCAGAGAATCAATCAAAAGCCCAGGTATGTTGAATTTGTCCACACTTCTCACTGGGATCTACTGTATATTCTGGGCCAAAGCCATATTGATTTGTGCAGATATCTTTAAAGAAAAGCTGAACTGACATAACACAGTCTGTCGGGATGTTAGTTTAGCTTGAAGGTGCGGGGAGGCGAAAAATCAATACAACTCATTTTTGAATTTCTTCAAAAAGTGTTGAGCTAAGCCTTTGACTGAACCCGGCTCTGTGACTTTCCTGAGAAAATATTAGTCAAAAAGAAAGAAAAAAAGAGACTGTATTCACATTATATTTGGCATTTGCTTTGACATTTACTGTATACTTGGCTTTTCACATTTCATTTCAGAGCACGGCTAATCTAATTTGGCGTGATGCGTTCAGAAAAACTCAACTCCGTTTCAAAGTCCTTCCAGTAATTCCTGCTGTCTTTCTTTTAGACGGAGACGATTTCACATTGCGTTTGTATTTCCTCTGTGGTTATGATGTGCAGCTTAGACACCCACTACTTGCTCCTCGCCCTGCTGATACTCTCCATTTCCAATTCACCCGTGCAGTCCTGCGGAGTTTGACCTTTTGCTGGTGTAGCCAAGCACTTCTAGATCCATGGTTAGAGCACACAGTCTAGTGGAAGTAGACATCTTAAACGTAGTGATTACATGACTGGAGAGATTTTGTGTGATTAGATAGATAGATAGATAGATAGATAGATAGATAGATAGATAGATAGATAGATAGATAGATAGATAGATAGATAGATAGATAGATAGATAGATAGATAGATAGATGAGTGAAAGATGGATTGATGGATGGATGGAAAGAACAAAAGAAGGATGGATGGAAAGAGCAAAAGAAGGATAGATGGATGGATGGATGGATGGATGGATGGATGGATGGATGGATGGATGGATAGATGGATGGATGGATGGATGGATGGATGGATGGATGGAAAGAACAAAAAAAGGATGGATGGATGGATGGATGGATGGATAGATGGATGGATGGATACATATATGACTGGATGTATTGTACAGTAGATGAGTGAAAGATGGATGGATGGATGGATGGATGGATGGATGGATGGATGGATGGATGGATGGATAGATGGATGGAAAGAATAAAAGAAGGGTGGATGGATGGATTGATACATATACAGATGGATTGATGGATGGATGGATGGATGGATGGATGAATGGATGGATGGAAAGAACAAAATAAGGATGTATGGAAAGAACAAAAGAATGATGGATGGATACATATATGGATGGTTGGATTGTAGATGAGTGAAGGATGACCGGATGGATGGAAAGAACAAACGAAGAATGGATGGATAGATGAATGGATGAACACATATATGGATGGATGGATTGTACAGTACATGAGTGAAAGATGTATGGATTGATGGATGAAATAAGTGATAGTTTGACAAATAAACAGACCGATAGACAATGACCAATATAAATCTAGGTCTCTATCTATATATCTGATTATATAGACAAAAGGATGGACCTAACAGATGAATGGATAGATACATGGATGGATTTTACAGTAGATGAAGATAGATAGATAGACAAACAGACAGACAGACTGAGAGAGAGAGATAGACAGACAGACAGACAGATATGATATACATTATTGTGCGAGTGGGGTGTAAAATAAATCATTTATGATGAGTTATATGATCTTGAGACTGTGTGTGAGTGGTGTTTTAAAGGACAGCTGCTCACTTGCTGCCTTAAGGCGACCTCACAGTATCTAACAGCTTATAACTGCAGACAGAGCCCTGAATTATTATATGGAAAAATGAGCTAAGACCCAGACTGCAACGGTGAAAAAAAAAAAAAAAAAACACACGTTGACCTGTTGTGGTGCAGTTTATGTTTCTGGGGCTGCATGACATCATGTGCACTTAAATGCAGGTTTACAAGAAGGGCTCGAGCATGAGCAATCTGCTCTAGTGGAGATTGCAATAAATGGAAATAAAAATGACTTTGCTTACAGTAAATGTCTGTGTCAAATCTCATTCTGTGACATTTTTACTGTTGTTTTTTACATGTCTGTAAATGCATAACTTAAAAAACAAATGCATTAACCCAGATGGCTTATTAATAACCCATATGTCGCATATTTAAGTGTAAAGAATTGACCATAGTAATCTTATTTGTATTTGTAACAATTCATTGTTTTTCGATGCCTTCAATTCGCCCCTGCAAGTTATGTATTTGCACTCTCTTTCATTCACATACAGCACTTGAGCTGAATATAATGGATTCCCCTGAATAATTCAGTAATGTGTGATTGTGGGCTACTCTACTGAGTCCAAAGACCACTGTTAGCTCCTGCTGTTATAGTAATGCCTTCCCTGAGGACCGTGTGGTGACTGCGGATTGAAGAGTCTCATGAGTTTCTTCCCCTGAGCTTTGTGTCCACAAATCTAAACTGGCCAGTCAGTGTGATGAATGAGCTGTGTACAGCCTCACAGTTAATCAGAATGTACTGGGTTTAAAATAGCAATCGTTTGCAACATAATTGTGAACACCACAGTTATGCAAACAAGAAAATGTTGATAGCGAACATCAGTCATGTATTCAAAAATACGGAACTGCTGATGAATGGATGGATGAATACAAGTAAAAGTGGATAGATAGATAGATAGATAGATAGATAGATAGATAGATAGATAGATAGATAGATAGATAGATAGATAGATAGATAGATAGATAGATAGATGGATGGATGGATGGATGGATGGATGGATGGATGGATGGATGGATGGATGGATGGATGGATGGATGGATGGATGGATGGATGGATGGATGGAACAAAAGAAGGATGGATAGGTCAGACAAATGACCGGATAGTATAGGAGATAGTTTGACAAATAAACTGATAGATGGAAAGAGGGACTGGTTGATATATAGATAGACAAATATTTCCATTTGTCTATCTATATATCCGTTGGTCTCTGTCTTTCTATCTGTTTATATAGTTTATATAGAGGGATTGAAGATAGACGGATGAATGGATGGATAGATGAATGGATGGAATAGGTGATAGTTTGACAAATAATAATAAACATAGGGACCAATAAATAGAAATATCCATCCATCTATCTGTCTATCTATACATCTGTTGGTACCTATCTATCTATCTATCTATCTATCTATCTATCTATCTATCTATCTATCTATCTATCTATCTATCTATCTATCTATCTATCTATCTATCTATCTATCACTATCTATCTGATTATATAGACAAAAGCATGGATACAGTAGATGAAGATAGATAGATAGATAGGTAGATAGATAGATAGATAGATAGATAGATAGATAGATAGATAGATAGATAGATAGATAGATAGATAGATAGATAGATAGATAGATAGATGGATGGATGGATGGATGGATGGATGGATGGATGGATGGATGGATGGATGGATGAATAGATCATACAGATGAATGAATGGAATATTATTAATAGGTTAACAGACAGACATATACCTTTTGCAAGAGGTTAAAGTTTATTGGATGTATTACAGTGATTGAACCAGATTTGAGGTAGATTATGTACAGTCTGTCTCTCTTATCCCTCGTTCTCACTCTCTATGTGTGTGTGTGCTGCAATAAAGGAGAGGGTTGATAGACTATACAGTGGGATCGGTGTGGGCTTTTCGAGCTGCCTTCACTGATGCGCACTTGGCCGCTGACAGCTCGCTAACTGCGCGTCTCTCCCCCCGCTGACAGGCGGACGTCACACACGAGAAACACCCCGCAAATGACATGCCACGAAAAAATAAGTTCCTCGGAGTAATATAATAAACCAGCTCACTTCCTCTGGCAATCGCAGAAGTGGCGGAAGTACGTCAGTTTGCTTGACTCGGAGCATTTACACTTCGCAGTGCGATTTCTGACGAGCAAGAAGAGAGAGAAGCGGAGATGTGAATCATCCGCTGTCTCTTTAAAGGCACTTAGCGAAGCTTCACGTATTCCGACAAACACGCCGTCGTCTCTGCCTTCAGCCGCAGCGCGCGCGGGCAGCGTTGAGGAATGGACGCCTGCAACTTACTCTCTTCTGGATAACGAACTCTTTTCTTGCTTGGATATGGTTTGTTTCTGGTGGATTGCGTGCTGAGGAAGGATCTTTGGGGATATATATAAGAGCGTTGACGCGGACCGCGTTGTCTCGGATGGTTTTGTGGCGTCTCTTCACGCTGAAACTTGCTGATAGAATAAGTTCCTATTTTTAAATTGCGCGACACACACGCGGAGGCTTATTTATGCTGTTTCTGACACAGTGGCTCATGGATTGGGTGGAAATTAAAGCTGGGCCGGCGACATGAGTCCAGAGCGCGGTCTGCAGTATGTACACAAGCTGATGTTATTGTATAGCGTTGCAACAAAGTTGCCGTGCGCGTGGAATTC